TGGCTCAGCTGCAGAGCACTGGCAGCCAGCTTCAGTCCTGGGATCTCAGACTGTGGAAAGCACCCGCTTGCCCTTCTGCAGCCACGTGCTCTTCTGCACCCACATGCTTTTCTGCATCCTCTTTCTTTTCTGCATCCTCTTGCTTTTTTCAGCTGTATTTTCTGCAGTGTTTATGAATATCCTGCAGCCTTTGCACACCTAGAACATGGGGCTGGTCAGTTGCTTTAAAAACAGAGACACACAGGCCTATGCTAATGAAAACAGAATAGGCTGAGACCTTAAGAAGGGATCGTAGAAGGTGCTCTTTTCATATTAAGGGTGTTTCTGCGCTGTGGTGGAAAAGCACTGCCAAGAACAACGCTAACTCTCCCTCGTCGAGATAAGTCTTTTGATAAATGGCACACCTCCCTTCGTCGTCATTTTATTTATCATCTGCTAAATTTTCAAACTTTAGTGTTTGCTTCTCTTTATCTGGTTTGTGCTGCTGCAGTAACTTTCAGATAGCTCTGTTGACCTGGAACACAGCAACTCACTGATTATTCCCCAGAGGGAAATACAGCCTTCGGGGGGCGAAGCAACACGACCGACTGACCTCGCTGCGTGTTTGCTGTAGAGCCTCCTGGTGACATCGGAGCAGGGTTGGGGACGGGGTGTCACCTGCTGCTGCAGCTCTGCCTGTTCCCACTGCCTGTAAAGGGTTTTGGGGAAGGGGTGGGAATGCAGAAAGCAGGGACACAGTCTGTGCTGCGTTGAGCAGTTTCCACCAAGGGATGAATCTTTCCCCTGTCACACTATCGTATGCAGACAACTGTAATTACGCTCAGGCAACCAGCATCGTCCTTTCCAGAGTTATATTCGTCTTTATTGGTGGCAATTAATCTCTAGCCATATTTTTGAAGGAGCGAAAGCGAGTAAGTTGGCGCGTTTGCCGGGGAGGTGTTGCACAGGACCTGAAATGTGGCAGCTCCTGCTCCGGCGGCAGCTCCCCGGGGAGCAGGAGCCCTTCCCGAGCCACGCTCGCCGTGTTGACAAACACACCGGGGCCAGGGGGAGCATTTGTGCCTGCCTGGCAGCCCCTCTCCCAGGCTGCCTTCCTTATTGATGGTACCGTTAAAGTCTCTGTATCATTTTGACATCTTTAATGGCATATGCATTTAGAGTGTAGCTCCTGTGTAAGCTTTAATCAGCTTTCTGTTCCCATGTTGTTGCTATTATTATTTATCTCCGTTAGGGCAGCACACAGAGGCTCCATCAGCGGGAGCAGCACTGGGTTGTGCCAGGCTTGCACCGCGGCCACCAGCAGCCGCCCCACAGGAGCAGTGGTGCCCGTGTCCTGGGGTGCAGCTGGCTCTGACACTGCTCTCCCCGCTCTTGCAGGCACCAGCAAGGATTTGCCGCCCTCGTGTCTGCAGGACAATGTGTGGAGGCTGCTCGAGGCTTTGGTTGCTTCTGCTTTTCCGCTCTCCAGCTGGAAGTACTAGAGCTCCGTCCCCCAGCTAGTTACGCACTCGAGCAGTCTCACACACACGAGTGGCCCTGTTGAGCTCGGTGCAACCGCTCGTATGAATAAGTACTTGCATTTAGCTGACAAACTCCGTGTCTTTCAATCTCTGTAGAGGTGCAGAGGTTACCACAGTGCTGATTTATGAGCGATCACTTTATAAATATCATATAATGTACCAATGAAATTACACAGGCGAAGAATTTACTTGCAGCTCCGCAATCTGTCACTGAGCAATGGGACATGAAGGAAGCAAGAAGAAAAACAAGAATTGATAAACTTCAAGCAAAAAAGCTCTTATTTCCGTGTTTGAATACTGCAACATTAAACTGGGTGAGGATGATACTGCAGTATCACAAATTTCCCACCAGCTCAAGGCCCCCAAATTTCACTCAAGCCCCATTGCCGTTCATCAGCAGTGGATGAATTGGTGCTGGACATGTTGTCTCTGCCTAGCAACTAAAAGCAGAAAATCTTTTTCATCTGAGATAAAGGCTTAAATCTACCGGAGCCTAACTCATCAACAAGTACAAGTGATCCCACCGCTAGAGACAGCAAGACCTTAGCATAGATGTCTGTATCACAGCTTAGGTTCAGAACCATGTAGGGAATGATGGTCAAAACTGGCTCGCGGCCTTAGGATTGTGAAAAGGCCAGGGTTGTATCAGACACTGAAAATGAGACACAGTTCAAACCCCGTGTTGCTGTAATCCTGTCCCTGCCTGTTTATCCTTCTCTTCCATAAGCATTCAGAGCTACTTTAACTCTCATTTTTATGTCATTTCCCTAATAAATCCCCATGAAATTCATATTCTTACTGTCTATCTGGTATGCCAAGCTGTTTTATTTGATAGATAATTAAAACATTTTGGCTAGCTACTATGGGCTAAACATACTGAATGCTGCAGTGTGTGATCGCTGATGTCTTGTACTTAGAACCGTTTGGAAGATCTGTCTGACTGCCAGCTGGTTTTCTGGTCACTGTGGGCTTCTTTTATTGTCCAGATTTGGGTATTTTAGGATGTTACAACCAATTAAAAGATTCTCTGCTCTTTCCCGGAGCATTTTGTTCTCCCTTTCAGTTAGTTTGTGGGGTGAAATTAGATACAGGAAAAAACAAATAAGTGACCGAAAACATAAATTGCAAAGTAGTGATCATGCAAGACTCATTTATATAAATGCTATTGTGTATTACAAGGGAGTTGTGCTGGTGGCTGACAGGGTAAATGCGAAACAAGATGCTAAACTGATGGTGGAAAATAATCTTCCCGCCTTATGAAAGATGTAATTCTCCTTCACTTTTTTTCAAAGTGAAGAATTCAAAGCAACCAGACAAATCGGGTGGTTGGAGAAACCATCTAAGATGTGGGAGACGAAAGTATTAGTCTCATTTTCTAATGAGTTTTACCTATCCATCCTAAGGAAATTAACTGCAACTGAGGTCATGTCAGCCCAGAGCACCTCCCAGCCTGGCAGCCAGGGCTGCCCTCGAGGAGGGACCAGGTAAGAGCCCGGTCCCTGATTCCAGCAGGACAAGGTGGGATTCCTGCCCAACCACAGGGCTGTGGTATCTTCTGCTTCAGGTTTTTACCCTGTGTAGAGGCCCAGAACTGCATCCCTTGATGTGCAAGTGCTGCAGAGAAACAAGCTGATGTTTCTGGGGGAGAAATTGCTAGTGAACAACATGAGCTCTAGCAGATTTGCTCCCTGCCCCTGAAAGCTTACGGAGTCTTAGAGTCTGTGTGCAATAAAGATAGACCAGCTCTTCCCACAGATTCTCGGTAATAATTTAAGGCTTAAAAAAAAAGGGAAGATTTTGTTTGCTTGACTCCCAGAGGTGTTTAGCAAGGATCTATCAATCCTGCTTACAGCTGTGGGAAAAAGGAGGCACAGTAATAAACTGGGTTAGGCGCAGGCAGGATGGGCACAGGGCTGGGTTGACCGTGTCCTGCATGTGTATCCTGCAGCCCTTGCAGGCCTTCTTGGAGACTCTTCAATTGCTTCTCCTCGTGGACTCGTTTTGGCCTTAAACACTGTTGCTCAAGAAGTGCCTGTTAGTGAACTAACGATCAGAATATTCCCTAACTGAGCAATGGGCACCCCCCTCTCAAGAAAAAGGATAGCAAAGCTGCCCAAATTGCCTCGAACACATAGGAAATTTGTTGGGCAAGAACTTATGACAGTGGTGGACTCTACATTTACATTGCTGAGGCTGGAAGCAGAGGCCCTGGCCTGGTGACTAGCTCCCACCTATGGATTAGTTTACATGTTTGCAAACAAGAGAGCTCGTCGAGACGGTTGTGTTGCTGAGATTACCAGCTCATTTCCCATTTGTCTGTGGATTTTACACTAGCAGGATTTTTTTGGCTATTATAATTGAAACCAGCTCCGTGAATGCAATAAAGTATACCCAGAAAATGATCTGTAACCATGTCTTTGCTGGAGATTTTGCCAGCAACTGTTCTGAATGACAATTTCCTTGCACTTTGACTTAGCTGTATTAACAGAACTGTTAAGTGGAAGGAAGGATTTCTGAAGAAATCCCTGCTTTTCGCTGACCTTTAGCTGAGGAAATCTCAACCTCTGGGTGTTTGGGCTCAGGGCCTCAGGGTGCAACCATGTTAAATGCATGCACCTTGCAGTGCCTACTGCAGTGCATGCTGCAAGGTGCACTGAGCCTTGCAGGTGCTGCTTGCCGTTTTTGTGGCGCCTCAGGCTCAAGCTGTTCCTGCACCGCTGACTTCTCCCCCATCCTGCGTTCCCATGGAAGGCCCTTGCTCCGTGTCGGCGAGGCGGGAGCCGGGTGAGGAACCAACACGAGGGGCAAGGACCCCTCAGTGCCACAGCCACAGGCCCTTCTTTATCACTAGCACATATGGACTACTGCTAGTATAGAAATTACTGGCATGCGCTCTCCTCCCCTTCATCCGTAAACCTGCAGTGGATTTAAGCAAAGCTGCATGAAACCCCAGTCTCTAGTGGTATTTTTCCGTCCCATCTCTTTACTCCTTGAGAAAAAAAAGCACCAAAAGAGCAAACCTTTTTTAGATTATCGTACTTATTATCTTATGGGAACAGTGCAAAGAAACAATATTTGATGACATTATTAAATCTGCAGGACTTGCTTGGCAGTTCTCCTCCCGTTAAGGTGCACTGCAGCCGGGATGTGATCCTCTGCATCTAATTCCACCATAAATTCATTCCTTCCAGCTATCTAAGAGCACTAAGAAACAGGATATTAAAAGATTTAGGTCCTGATCTAATAAGAGTGTTAAACAAGTCCTCAAATTTAGGCATGTGACTCGTGCCGTTGTCTCCTCGCATGCTAGAGCACCTTGCTGGATTGGGGGTAGTATCAAAAAGTTTGAGGGCCCTCGAGGAAGTTTCTGGTGTTGATAGAGCCTCTTTGCCTGCCTGCCAGCCTCAGCAGAAGAAGATGGGATGAGCTGCATGCGCTGCACTCAGCTAATCATGGCACTAACGACCGTGTCTTTCGCAGGGTGCGACAGCGATCACTGGGGACCCCACTGCAGCAACCGCTGCCAGTGCCAGAACGGGGCTCTCTGCAACCCCATCACGGGCGCGTGCGTCTGCGCCGACGGCTACCGCGGCTGGCGCTGCGAGGAGCTCTGCGACGCCGGCACCTACGGCAAGGGCTGCCAGCTGCAGTGCCAGTGCCGCAACGGCGCGACCTGCGACCACACAACGGGGGAATGTCACTGCGCACCCGGATACACGGGGGTCTTGTAAGTGCCGTGGCAGCTGCTCCGCACGCCGCGTTTCACAGCTTTGCTTTGACTGCCTTTGCTGCAAGGAGCTGTTGATAAAATGTATGCAATCAATATATTATCCCCTTTGTGATCGGGAAACAGAATTGCAGGGAGATCGAACAAAGGAAATTTCTTTTGCTGCTAATTATGTCTGTCTGCGTAGCAAAATAAAATTTGGTGCTTAAGTGAACTTTAAAATCCCTGATATTTTCCAGCTTGTACAACTGTAGCTGTCCCTAATTTCAGTATGTGAAAACGATCCAAATTACAGTTCAGTTTTTATAAGCAATTGGACATTCTACTCGTTAGCTCCATCAAATAGGACTTACCATCCCCAGTTATTCTGACGTTCAATCTCACTGAGGAAGCATTACTGTTAAGTATATCAGCTTACTATCTAGGGGGTAAATTTTTAGCATAGTGAGCAGGGATTTAGCGGTGTGACTCCTATTAACTTTAACGAGACTCATGTAGCTAAATCCCCATATACCACACTGAAAGTTTACCAGTAGGATTCACAAAATCTGCATATTAATTTTAGGACAGCAAGCAATAGTTTCTTATTTAAAATTGCCCACAGTGTAACATCAGTTTTCTTTAGAGATTTTTCAGTAGTTTCAGAAGTAATTATGACTTTCGAAATTATTTACAGGGAAAAGAGAATTTAGTCACTGCATTTGGCTGGAGATCTATTACAGGTGTCTTAATACTTTTGCAATTTAATATTATTGTTGACCTGCACTAAGGAGAGGATAAATAATAAAGACAGTATTAACCTGCATAAATAAATTATATACCTTCTGAATATTTTATTTAGTACATGATTTCCTCATAGCCTTGTGACCTCAGTGCCGTAAGCACTCACTGCTAGAGACTGAGCTTGCTGCTAGGAGCAGTCCCACTGACATCAGTGCATCTGTTCTCAGCAGTATTTGCAGGGCCAGCCACTGATATATTGTATGAACCTCCTCATCAAGAGAGATGTCTGGGATAAGGGAAGAACTGTCTGTACCTTGAGAACCTGAATCAGAGGAAGAGGTGATGCTGAAAAGCACCAATTGCAGAGACCTGAAAGATACATTTTTTTTTTTTTCCCAGGGACTAGCCTTACTCAAACACTCAAAGAGTTTAAGTGATGCTGAGTTCTGGTCAGCCCTTTATGCACCGTCAGTGAGAGCATTTTGTACTGGTTGGAGAAATTCAAGCATTTTAATGTCATCCTTTTGTTTTATCTACAGCTTGTTTGATTGCTGTGTCGCATAAGTCACATTGAGGGCTTCATCCTACAACACTTACTTACATGGGCTGTTCTGCTGACGTGGGAGGGATTTGGTACCTGCATAATAATTACAGCCCCCTGCATCAGCCTTGCAGGGCTGGGCCACTGGCTCCTAAACAAAAAACAAGTGGGACAAAAGAAACTTTGGTTGATTGGTAGTGCCAGCCAATGCCTCCTGGCCTTGTCCTGATTTCCCTAAGGACTCCAGTGATGCCTTGTGATACAGACTTTCCTCATTTACAATTTCCTGCAAGATTTTTTCTTTAAATAATCACTGTGGGTTTGTGTCTTCTGTCCCTTCCAGCTGTGAAGAGCGCTGTCCCGCCGGCAGCCACGGAGCGCAGTGCGAACTGCGCTGCCCCTGCCAGAACGGGGGCATCTGCCACCACATCACCGGGGAGTGCTCCTGCCCGCCCGGCTGGATGGTACGTGTCCTGCTCCTGCTCATCCCTCGTGTCGGGCTTGGGATAAGAAATACACAGGGGCTCACGGTCAGGGGCTCGATATCTGCTATTTCTCATCACGTCTTGGGATTGGAGCTGGTTTGAAAGCAGGCCCAACTTTGTTGTGCAGCTCTTAGCAGCAGGTTCCCAGTCCCTGGCTTGTAGTGACCACCATACAGGGGAAGCAGCATTAAGTAGGACAAGTTGGAGTGACTGCCCATTAGAATCATAGAATCTTTAAGGTTGGAAGGGGACTTCCAGTGATCTTCTGGTTCCATTACACATCTACATGGGAGCAGAAGAGAAAACAAATGTGATCTCTGCATTACAGTTGCTTGGAATACCCACCACACCTTTATACAGTGTGTCTGCACTGCATGCAGTGCACAAAGTTCAGCTGAATGTTACTCCAAGCATTGCACTGGATCCCTTTGGGAAAGAGGGAGAGGAAGAAGGCAAGGGGAATTTGGTGGCTCAAGCAGTCAGTAATGCAGAGGAATATACATGGGGACACAGAGTCCAGCTCAGGGTCCTGTCCTTACTCAGGCATAATTCCTATTGATTGCAATAGATTTGTTTGCATCAGGGCTTGCCCTGGAGAGAGCAAATCACTCCAACCTTTAAACCTTTGTGTCAAGAAAGCAAGGCCAAACATTTTAAAAGGCTTCAACTTTATCAATAATGTGATAATTAACTCTCTCGGGGTTTGCCAAGTCTCAAAGGCAGACATAGCATTTAGCCACGCTAAGTTTCCTGGTGTTTTTCCCAGAGCTGACAATTGGACTCTTGGTAATCTTGCTGGATTTTAATGCAAACACATCCTGTGATTTTTCTAGTACATGCAAGACCATGAAGACCATCACACTCCATGGCTTGTGGTGTGGATCTAAATCCCTTTGAAATCTTCGGGGGCTGAAAGAGAAGTCTGTATTCTTTCAGATCAATGTAGCAATTGCTGTCTCCATTTAGCTTCTCAAAAGTGTTTGATCACAGAGCTACTTTTAGGTAAAAATCATCAACCATGAGATGCAGGTGGCTTTAAGATGGCAACATTAGAGAGGAACATCCCCACACAACCTTTTTACCTTTTTTGGTGGAAGCTGCATACTGAGAATCTTTTTCACTGGACAGTCGCAGTCAAAAAGGTGATAGCAGCATTACCTTTCCAGTAACAGAGTGGGGAGAGCTACTCAGGTGCTAAGTAAGAGTGTGGAACCTTACCCTGACCCAGCATGAACTGGAGACAAGAATGTTCTTTCCTTAAGGAGTGGAGCTATCCCATAAAGGAAGCAATTCAGCTATTTTGGGCAAGGAGATCCCAGGCCATTTCGCCGTTATCTCTAAGCATTGGTTGATAAAGTCATTAACATCAAAACATTACTTTGGGGATATTTTTTCAGCTCTTCTAATATTCTGCATGCTAATATCTCTGAGTTGTTTTGCTGGACTCTTCTTTCCGTGTGTTTTATCAGAATGTTTTCCCTTTTTTCACAAAGTTACAAAATCACTAAAGAGATGAAGTAGTATCAGCACTGAGCAGGAAGCTTATTGAGGGCTTTTAGAGCGCTGAATGGACCCTGAAGAACCAGAGCTCTGGGGCTGCACAGCTCCTGCCGCTGTGGATACTGGCCTGCTCCTGGTAGCCTGGACTTTCTTCTCTGCATTGCTAATGGCCCAGAGAGACTTCCTTGAAAACTGTTTTGTTGGCGGCTCCATCCCCAGAGAAACCCTGGAGTTAACAATTGATGTTTGAAGCAAGCGTAGCTGGAAATTGAAGCGAGAGAGCAAGTATTCTGAGGGAAGAAACTGAAATTATAAGTAAAAGCACTCAGCTTGTAAATTCTGAAGTTTTAAGTATAAAGGGTCTCTCCAGGGTTTTAATGAAAAGCCAGTAATTCAGTGCACAGAGAGAAAAGAAAAATATTTTTTCATGCTATAGATTTAACTATTGGTGGTTGCAGTGGTTTGCAAAGTGAGACGTTAGTGGTCTGTAAATGAGCAGGAGATATGGGATTGCTAGACTGCACTCATTTTATTTCACACCATGGGTATTCTTTCTTTGACATCAGGAATTTTACTTGCTGATTTTGAGGCTGGAGACCATGTGTATGTGCTGTGTAAGCCAGCATGCTGGAGGGAGAGTATTCTCCCTAGATTTATACGAGTGGAAATCCACTTGGATGCTGTTGCTGCTGCATGAGCTTCAGCTTTAATCCTTTCTTGGGGTAGAGAGAGACATGGGACTTATTAACAGCAGCTCAGTCCCCTTGGGGTGTGCAAGGCCAGGCAACAAGTGAGCACGAGGAAGTTCTGGGGTTCTCCACTTCTTCCATGGATCTGCAGGCTTCAAAGACTGACTCTTTCTCTCCTTGCATCATCCGTTCCTCCTCCGTCCTCCCACCCACTGCAGAGTCTCCCAGAAGCATAAGAAATTACACACACTCTTTCCATTTTACCATTCTATGAAATTTTACCATTCTATGAGTTTCTCACCAGCAGGATGGTGGCTATAGCCTGTTGAGCTAGTCTGGAAAACGTGGCTTCCAGTGGTCTTCCAGGTTGGGCATTTTCTGCTTCTGGGTGTTTGTAGGGTACATGTTAGTGGGTGGCGGTTGTCGAACCTAATCAACAATTTGCAGATATAATTCTATACACCCTTTTCATTTCCAGTATTAAGTTGTCCAGACGCTTTCCGGAAGTGGGAGGTTAAATTTGCTTTTTACAGTGCTTCTTAAAACCACTTTGAAGGACTAGATCACTGTGCTAGGAAAGCAACGATGTCCCCTTACAGGACAGGACATTTGTCATTGACAGCACACCCTGATCCCAGGTCCCATTCTGAAGGCTTTGCATCATGGTGCCATGTCCATACAATGCACTAAGCTAATCTCCTTAGTTCCTTGTTCTCATTTCATGGACTTTTAACTCTGGACTTTATGAGCAAACTATAATTTTTGTGTACTTGATAGAACAGGTTGCCCAGGGAGGCTCTGGACACAGTTTTGGGCAACCTGCTCTAGGTGACCTTGCTTGAGCAGGGAGGTCAGAGCAGGTGATCCCTATAAGCCCCTTCCAACCCCAGCTTTTCTTGATTCTGTAATTCTGTTTACTTGTCTTTCTGTCACAGATTTAAAAAATGGGGAGAGGAGTTAAATGGGAAAATGGAGCAGAAAAAAAAAAAAATTCTGTACTGCAAAATGGTAATAATATAGGAAACAATGTCAAAAGCAGAGGCTGATTAGATCAGGGCCTTTAAAAAAGGTGCTGATGGAGTGAGCTTTGCTGATTAGATGCATGAGCAGCGGGAAACGGTTTGGTCTGACATTTGATCCTCCAGAGAGGGCTGTTTTAGATTCCCTTAGTACATATTAATGCAAAAAGTATGCCTAAAGATTCTCTTGGCTCCAAGGGGATGCATCATAGGGTATTGCTTTCTCATCATTTGTTGATAGAAATCCTGTTCCTTTTGAGACATGAAGGGAGAAAGTATTTATTATCAAGATAAATGGATACTTACATTTTTAGATATATAGTGTTGTGTATTACTCAAGCCCAGAGACACCATTTTTTTAGCACTGCAATCTGAATGTTCTTGAACCGAGGCCAACCTGTCTATTTTACGGCCAAGGAGCCACCTATCACTGGCTTGGAAAGGCCTGAAGTATCTATTTTATGATTACATTCAAGAGCAGCCTCTCCAGTTTGGGGTTGCTGATATTGCTGAACTTCCCAAGCTGTTGAGGAGGGAACCCCAAGGAGTGATAGACAAGGAGTGACAAATCTTTCTGCAAGATTTATCCAATCCCTACTTTGTTCAAAACTCAGAGCCCCTAGGGCTTGAAAAGTACTTCTGAGAGCTTAAAGCAAATAATAATAGGGGCAGGGATCCCCATTCCACTGCACTGGGCATGGCATGGGCGGCAGTGCAGCTTGCTGCACTTACCAACTCTTTTATAGGACCCCATCTTCTCTGCCAGACTTTACTTGTTTTGGCTGGAATTATTCAGGTGGCTGCCAACTTCCCACTGAGGTGAGGGAAAGATAGTGTTTGCTCATGTGAAAAGAAAACTTACGACTTGTAAGAAAGTCTAGGGAAATGCTTGCAAGACCTTGACACCTGGCAGGGGACATTGTGTGATATTTGGGGAGAAAATCACCTGAATTCGTCAGATTGATTCCTCAAAGACATAACTAGTGGTAAGAATTCTCTGCCTTGGGGCTGGAGAAGTGGGACAAGACTTAACAAGCAGTGGTCCCTCCTGATGACCAGATCAAGGATGTACAACCAGAAGAACAAACTCTTCTCCACTTCCAAGGATAGCTGGACAGAGAGGAGAGCTGCTCAGACCAGAGATTCGGAGCTGGGCAAAGAGAGGGTAGAAAGGGCGTCTGTGACAAGAGTTTTGGGTGAAAGGGAATAGGGGGCAGAGCTTTCTGGCCTTCTCCCACTGCCTTTGATTTCTCTAAAGCCTTTCTACTTCTGTATTCAAGGGTACTGGCTATCCTGCCACCCCAGATGTGGTTTCCAGTGAAATTCTGAAGAAGGAAATTCTCCTTTATTGTCCAATGGAAAGAAAAAAAAACCCTCTGGACGTATGGTAGAAAGTCATTTACTGTGGCAGCAGAATTTTGAGTCTGTCTTGAGCCCATCTTAAGCAGAAGAAATACTGCCAATGCAATTAGATCCAGTTTTAGCAAGAAGGACAATAAATATCCAGGCTCTATATAGAAATTTATTGCATGCTGACTGTTGACTGAAATATTGTTCTTTCTGCAACCCTACCAGGGGCTGGTGTGTGCCCAGCCATGTCCTCCTGGAACGTTTGGAGTAAACTGCAGCCAGGACTGTCCGTGCCACAACGGAGGACACTGTGACCCTGTGACAGGAAAATGCCTCTGTACAGCCGGGTACATGGGAGACAGGTAAAAACTAAGCAAAACCCCAAAGCCCTTTGTTTTAACCACGGACTGGCAATATTTACAGCCCTCCTAGGGCAGTGCTGCTCTCTGAAAGGCAGTGTTATATCTCTATTGCTGCAATTAGGTTCCTCCTTCTGAAGCAGTTCGAGCATTATAAATGTGGCAGTGTTATTACTTTTTATTGGCAATGCTCTCCATTTACAGTTCTTTTAATGTAACTTTTAAAATTTAATGGATTAAATTTAATTTAGATATTTACAGTGATAAATTTATTAGAGAGCATTACATGTTTACAAGATATGTAAATGAACCATATTTATACAAATTAATATCCTCAAGAGTAAGCAATGCAGCAGTTTAATGTTTCCATCAGCCCCTCTGTGCTGCTGCAGAACTGATCCATCTCAGACACCAACAAAAGGCGATAAATCCTCAAAATTTATAAATGAGAGGGTTTGACCATAAATCAGTCTGAAAAGATGATAATATTGTTTTACAAAGGTGTCATGGATTTAGCAAAATGACTACACAGCAAAGTCCAAGTGTGATTGTAGCACATGCTGGCTTAGCCTTCTAGTTAATCCTGCTAGGAGGGCTGAAAATGATGAGGAAAATGCAGTAAAATAAGCTTCCGTATGCAGCTTTCACTAGCAATTGGACTGTGTTACCAGGATTTCCACAAATCCTGGCCACAGCTCGCTAGTGCTCGCTGTGCTAATGCCCTTTCTCCTCTCTCTCCCTTTCTTTTATTAGCTAGAACAAGAGGTCTGTAGGTACTAGACAAGTACTACACAAGTACAAGTCTTCTGACATCTGCTGCAGTTACACTTTTATGCAGCAAATCTCACTGTAATTTCTCATTTCTTGCCTCTTTGTATAATCATCAAGTTTTTGAAGCAGACAAGCAGACCAAACTCAAGCTGAGCTGGGGCTCAGAGGCTGCATGTTGTCCCATAAAATGTGCAGGCTCGTTGTGTCCGTCTCATCAACAGCAGTAATTGGCAGGGGGCTTTGGAGACCATGTCAGGATTTGCATGTGCTTGAAGATGCTTGAAATGTTAATTATTTCAAATTAATTTAATGGAGGAGACATCACTGGGTTTCTCTTCTCCCATCCTCCATTCCAGGACAGTGATGTTCGTGCATTCCTGGGGTACCATAATTATTGTCACTTGTGATAGTTTTCACAATTTTCGCTGCAAGAAACAAGTGTGCAGGCTGAACACTCATCCTGGTGGCCACACTTCAATCACAAATCGTCCTCAGCCCTGGCCATGCTCAGGCAGGCTGGTGGTGGCCCCTCTGGCTCCAGATCTCCTCGTTCGGTTGTTGCAGACCCAGATCGATTTCTGGCTGTAGGTGAATCAACAGCGTTCGAGCTGTGAGCAGCTCCCAGCCAGCAGCCTGCAGCTGAGCCAGCTTCTTTGCTTAGCTGCCAATAAAACCCCAGCCACGAGGGAGGACATGCAGCAGAAGGGCTGGCTCCGTTACAGGAGCGCGGGCTGGGCGAAGAAGGGAGCTGCCCTGCTGCACTCCAGCAAAAAGGCAGGAAAAAGTCTGCTGGGGACTAGGAAAGGAGATGGCAAGTGGAAAACAGCAGATCCAGTTCTGCCTGTTGTTAGGAACAGAGGGGTTTGTGCGCTAGGTCACCTCTGAGATGGGCCCTTCAGGTCTGTAAGTGACAGGAAGGAGGTTTGGTCTCTGAAGGGGGAATGTGGTCCAAGGAGACTGAGGAGGAGAGAGGGGGAAAGGAAAGATTGCTGAGCTGGAAGAGGAGGAGAAGCCAAGGGAAGGGCAGATGTGGACCTGCACCCATGCCCAGCCCGTGGGGATGGTTCAGCGCCCTGTCCTGGAGCAGGGAGCGTAGCACAGACACAAGAGAGAAAGAAGAGCCAAAACGTGGGAGCGTGGAAGGAGGACAGAGAATAAGAGAGTGAGGTAAAAGGTCAGTTTTGAAAGCTTATACAGCAGCAAGAAAAGCTGGAATTGGCCTGTAAGTTCCTCCATTTGAGGTGGCCCTCAGAAAGCTTAAACATATTTAACTAATGAGCCTGTAATGAGGGAAGTGAAACCTTGGGCCCATTACATTCACTTGGCGTTCGGCCTTCCGCTCGGACCAGGCCGCCCGCGCCCGTAATGGTTCCCTCGGAGCCGGCACAGGAGCCTCTGCCTCGCTCCTCACCGCAGCCGCTGATGGTAAAACTGCCCATTGGCTGCAGAGATGGCAGGAGCAGACACAAGGCTTTTAGAAAAAGGCTAAATTGCTTTCCCTAGTTATGTGTTCATCCAGCATGGACAGTGAGAAAGATTAGTCAGCACCATTTTAACTTGAAGTCTGTTTTACTTTCTGAATCTCGTGTAGCTGTGGCAGTGCTACAGGATGGTGGCAAATAGAGCAAAAGAATGCAGCTGCCCTGCAAAACAATATTTTCCTTGAAATTCTAAGAGGCAATGAAAAATATTCCTGCTAATAACAGATTGAGTGAATAACAATAAAAACTCAACACATACTACTCCTTTTTAATTGTCAATAAATGCAGTATAAAACTATGGTCTGTCATCTTGTACAGCAGATAACAACGTATAGTTAGATAAATATTTGTGGAGATGAAGTAGTCACAGAGGTCTGCGGGAGTGTAATTGCTGCAGTTTGATGCCTACCTGTTTTCCAGGAAGAGGCAGTGCCCTAAAGATCTCCAGCAAATTGACAGGCTCTATTGATAACTCCAGGCAGCTTTGTGCCGGGCCGAGCTGACGGAGCTGTCATGTAAATGCATGTTTTGTAAACTGCAAGGGAATAATAGCAAAAGCACAGCCAGGAGCTGGGGATGGGGCGTCTAAGAATTCACTGGCTGCCACGAAAAGTGAACATACTGTTTTAGCTTTGTTTTCCGTATTGCCATTAAACCCAAAGATTGGATCTCAGCAAACATCACGTTTTTTAGGATAATATGAGCAGGCCTCTCTCGTTTTGCTTGCAGCCGTATCTCGTGTCTGCAGGATGGTGATCTCCAGGATCACAGCTTAATGCACTTTGGCTTTTAGTTTTCATCTGTGCTACCAAGTGTGGTCTTTGATTTAAAAATAAACACAAAAGCCTAAGCCTTAGAAACCGTGTAGCTTTATTCTGTGCAAAGGATTTCTTGGGAAGAAATGTAGGTGTGTGTAGCAGGTTCATCTGTTAAGCAGGCTGTCTTATGTTTAATATTTTGTGAAATTGCTTCCATTAATTCTACAGGTGACAGCCATATTATCCTATCCCAACCCAAATAATTATAGTGCATATTAAAGTTTGGTGGATATTATAATATGTATCTCCCCAGATAGGCAGAAAGCAATGTAAATTAAACAAGAAACATAACTAGGGCTTAGCAGCTCATTTTGTAATTTAATTGAACAATGTATCTGGTTGTTAATGGTGTTATGGACACATTAGATTGATATGTTGCAAAGGAAAGATGTTTAAGTAGAAAGCTAATTCCTGCTGTGATTATTCTTATGTTCCAGAGGAGTTGTTATTAGTATTCTTTGTATAAAATTCATTAGCAGTAGCTGCTTGATCTCCAAATAAATAAGTTGGTTAAATTGTTAGTAGAAAAGGGCTAATTATGTAAATGGATTAGGTCGTCAATATTTCATTTCCAGATGCTTTTCTCCCTGCTAGGTAATGCTTCATCTTCTATAAATATAGAATGATATAGTACACTATTGACTAAGTATTCATCTCGCTGAGTAGAGTGCTTTCCTGCTAACTAGTAGAGCTGCATATAGCAATGGGGGCATCAGGCACCTCAGCACCTCCTCACGCTTTTCAATTGCTCTAAGTGTTCCAGTCCTCACGTCACCCTTTCTTTGCTGGCCATTTCTTTTGCAGCTGAGCTCCCCTGTGACCAGCAGGTCCAGCAGCCACGGCCACCACGCTGTCCCCAGGGCTCCTCCAGATGACACATGCTCCGCAATCCTCGGGCCTCGTGTGGACCCCTGGACTTGCTTCCTGTGTCATGTTGATGTTTGATGCTACTAAATCACTAGCTAGGCCTTTTGCTTTGGTCATATATTTTTAGTAAAACGTGATCGTCTGAAGCTGCACAAGTAATACTGTTCTTCTGTACTGACAGCGTTCACTGCAGTTTTGCCTGCCTTGCATCACACATTCATCTTTTATTACTGATCATTATTATTAACTCTCACCTGCCAGCTGTGAAATGACCTGCAGGAAGACGTTTAACAGTCACCTCTATCCGTGGAGTTTATAGTATATACTTTAATCAATGCACAGGATTAAATTAATGCTGATAGGCAATTTCCAATATCTGGTATCCATGTGATAAGGGAATTGGGCTTTTTGGGGATTTTTTTTTTCATTAACTGAAGAGGCATATCTGTATTTCACGGTGGATCATGTAAACTGTAGTACTGATTCACTGCAGAATTTTGAAACCACTCAATTATGGCAAACACAGAAGCACTTGCTTTCTTTAGGACTTTAGTTGAGCTTTTCCAGCTAGAAGATAATATGATCTCTTAAACTGGTTGGATAGGACAATGAACCAGACTTTTTAGCAGATTTCATAATGTATCCAAACAGGAAATATTTTAAACAGTGCTTAGAAGGTGCAATTTAAAACAATCTGTGTCTAATGTTTGCAGGTTCCATTTTTATGTGTATCAAGTATTACAAATGTTGGCAATTTTGGAGAAGATCCTACACTAAAAAGAGTGGAAGTGATTTGTCTTGAGGTTTTATACTACTGAGCACCCCTGCAGTAAGAGATGAAATGCAAATTTTTGATGCAAACTGCTGCAATTATTCAGAGCAGACACTAAAGACAAATGGTAGATGTTCTACCAGTATAAAGCAGGTCCAACAGCAGCATGGAGGGAAAGTAAAATTCTGCTTTGCTGGAGAATATTTTTTTTTTAATACTGCTTAATAGACCACATCTTTTGATCCTCATTATCACTGTGAGGGTACCCTAGGCCTCTAAAAAAGCTGTACAGATCTTCTGTAATGAGGAGAAATCAAACAAATGAGGGTGTTTTTTTCAATTATCTCAATGTATATCAAGTTTTTATGGTTCATGAATGGAATTATCAAGGCCCTGGAAATAAGAATGCACTTGAACAGGAATAATTGGAAAGAAATTAATACACTTTCAGTTAACAGCAATTTACATGCCCAAGATAGCATATCACCCCAATGCTTTCATCAGTTCAGTGTATCACTTAAATGAGCTACGATTTTATGCTTAATTCATTAGCGAAAGCATGCCCATGTAAAAGTCATAAGCAGACTAGATTATAATATCTGACTGGATCGTGTCTCATGTAATTCACTGCAGGTGTCAAGAGGAGTGTCCTATTGGGACGTATGGCTTCCAGTGCACTCAAAGATGTGATTGCCAAAATGGTGCCAAGTGCTACCACGTAAATGGAGCATGTATGTGTGACCCTGGATTTAAAGGGATTTATTGCCAAGAAAGAATGTGTCCAGAAGGGTTTTATGGCCTCAAATGCGACAAGAGATGTCCTTGCAGTACTACTAACACCCTCAGGTATGTTTGTTATATTACATACATGGACAAGTCAAATAAAGGCATTGGGAAACAAACATTGCATTTGACCAAACTCACTCCCTGTTTTGCTGAAGTTTTTATTAAGAGCCCATTCGTTTCCTCTGGATTACAACATTTGATTTAAAGGACTCCAGGTTTGAAACCACAAGCCTCAGCCCAGCCCACTTTTAATTACTGAGACAATTCTTCAAAAATCTGAAACAGTTATCTGACATACAGCCTCATTCTCTAATTGTACTCTTCCAGGCATAAAAACTATTCCTATGTATGTACATATTTCTATTTTCATCATCTAAGCTTCAGAGAAAAACATCACCAAGAAGAACAGTAGATGGGAAAACGGTATGATACCAGAATTTAACTTTCCCATTATTTTAATAAACACATAGTGCTTTCTAATGCTCCACTGAAACTCAAAAAGTATAGGTAAATTTTCTTAAGTACGTTCCTTTTTCCTCTTTTTATGACACAGGTTTTCTTGTCGAATCTATAGACAGCAAGGGGACTTTGAAAATGAAACCTAATTTGCTTCAGTTTATATCTTGTGGCAAATTACCTTGTTCAAAGCACTTGAGGCAGATGTATAAATAGACTGAAATCAATATCCTCAAGTCTATGGAACTGTAACGAAGTCAACATTGTCAAAATAGACATATCTTCTCTTCTCATGTGTGCCTATTTTTGCTCTTCGTTCAGTATGTGCATGTGTAAAATATTCAGGAAAATAAATATCAGGGAAGTGTATCTAAAGTGGAATAAGCCTCACTTAAAAGGTCAGGTTCCAAGGTTTTATTCCCTTTGGCCTTTTTTAAGAACTGATCCTTGAGGTTCGCATTACCAAAAGCTGATCCGCAAAGCCAATGCACCTCACAGGAGACAGGGGAATCTAAATGCAACCTTACAGGCTTGACTCAGTTTTCTCTTGCTCATATTCTTCTTTTTCCCATAATTTACCATTAAGCATTCACAACCATTCCAGGAACATGTAGGCTTCAGAAGGAGATGGGGATAATTGATGCCCATGCAAATATGCCCTTGCTACGGACATTCTTCAATTTTAAATCAGACAGGTGGGGACCTGACTGCCTTGCTGATAAACCTACCTGGCAATCTTGCAGCTTGCTAAGATATCAACTCTCTCTCCCCAATTATGCAGACGAGCAGAAGCGCCTCATTCGGGTGTACGCACGCACACAAGCACAAGCACTCCAGGCAAATCTGTTTGCATACTTGAGATAGGCTCTATTTTTCTCGGTCTTGGAAATAAACAGGTGATCTTTCACGTGGATTCAAGTTCAGCTGCGAGTGGTGAGGCTTTGCTTAACTGTGAGCCGGAGCTCAGAATGGATTATTTAAAAGTCTTGTAATTCTGATCATGAGTCCTCTACAGAAAGACAGCTGCTGGCACTGCTGGGTTTGACAGTGAGGATCCAAAGTGTTCGACACCTCAAAGGTAACTCTGTACCACAGACTTCTACCACTTCTGAGTGTTTTGTGCATCATGGAAATTGTTGCGAAAAATAACGTCCCCGAGGCACAAGCAGAGCACTATACACAACAGGTGGATGTTGTATTGTAGCGAGGCTAGGAACGACACAAGGATTGCTGCCGAGTGAGCCGAGGGAGGAATTTCTGTAGGTCCCACTGCTCTGTAATAGCTGCCGGTGCAAGGCTTAAAGCAGCAGTGAGTACAACAAGTCAAACTGCTCCTCAGTGAAAGGGCCCTTGCGTAAGCTGGAAGGGGGAGAACGTGCTTGCAGACAGTGTGTCCTCCCTCCTAGCCTGCAGAAATGGGTTTGTACAGCCGTTTTCCCAGAAAGGTGGAGATGGAGCTGCAGGGAGAGCGCCAGCCAGGCTCAGCTTGTGTGCTGACTGCTCAAGTCATTCCCACTCTTTTAACTGTGGGAAGGCTTGAGGGTGCCCATGACCATCTGGGGTAATCGAAGGGCTGCTTAACACCCTCAGGATGGGAAGGAAGGTTGGAGTTAAGTCTGAGAGGGCTCAGGAAGGTGGAGGATTTAATCCCCTCGCAGCTCTTTTCTATGCATGCTGTTACTCTCACACCCTGCACAGTTGATGTGTGCCTGGTAGCTGCCTGACAGATATTTTTTATGCCTTCCCCAACACTGCTCCATCAGCTTCACTTGTAGCATCCTCTGCTAAGATCATATCTCAGTTTCCTTAATAAATGAGTCTAGTCTCTCCATTGATAAAAATCTCCCTTTTTCCTGAATCTTATCACTGCTGTTATGGAACAAAGAGATATCAGCAAGCTGTAGATCTGTAAATGTTCTTTCATTCATCCGTGCTATTTCAGCTTTCCACTTTTCAACAAACTCTTCAGAATCCCATTGCTTTCAGAGCCAAGGAGCATCTGAGTTGATGGAAAATGACCTTCTCCAAAGACACTCCATATTCTGAACAAATCTCTCCACTTTTTTTTTTCAAACTGCCCCACATAGAGCTCTTTCTAACCAGCTATTCCCTTGAATTCTATCCTTACTGGAACTGTGATGTTCCAAATTCACTCATTTACTGACAGCCATGTATTTCCCCCAGAAGCTGTTTAAGCTGCTTGTTGTGATACCTACATGTGCAGGGTAATTTTATAAATAATGAAAAGAAGGTAGGGAAGCTTGCTTAGTTTTGCCAGTGCTTTCAACTCACTTGATCTGGAGTCTGCCGGGGCCTGAAGGCTCTGAATGTTTCGGGGAGCAAGCTGGCAAGGGACATGAAGAAATACACCATTGGCTTTGCCATTTTCCTAGACCAGCCTGTGTTAATGTCTGAAGAGACCAATATGATCATCTAGTCTGACCTTCTGCATAACAGCAGCTGAAGAACATCGTCCAATAATTTCTGCATCAAAGCACGTTGAAAGGCACTTTGTACAGGACTTTTGAACAACCCCAGAATTAGGTACTTTAGAGTACACTTGTGACTTGGATTGTCCTTCCCCAGGGAAGAATACACGAGGAAGAAACTCCTCCATGCAAGAAACCCACACTGATATTATCTTCTAGGGCGAGAAAGGGATAACCCTGGCTTGCATCTTCTGAAAAATGGAGAGGGAAATGAATAGCTGGAAAATCTCCCTGCCCAGCTTACTTATTAGAGCTGAGGAGCCATAAGCATTTGGTAAATGTCTTTCCTACATGAGGAGGGTGAGAAGAGCAAGGAAGACGTGGTGACCTTGTAAGGGCCTGTCCTGCCTACAGCTGGGGCACTGTGACAAAGCTTCATAAAATGGATAAATCTCCAAGAGGGGAGCTCTATTAATTGCCTCAACACTGGAAAGTTTGGAATGACCAAAACTGAAGACAGAAAATACCATTAAATGAAGACGAGGGTGATTGTTAATTAAGATGATGAGTTGCTAGTGGCAAAGTCAGAGAAATCACTGTGAAGAGGTAGTTTAGGCTAAAGATATATGGAAAACAAATTCCAACTTTGGAACAAACTGTGTTGTGTGAAACTTTTCTTTCCTTGCCTTACCTTAAGAGAGTTAAGAGATTGCCTAGAATGAAAGGAAACAGGTTTCCTCAGAAATTAAGGTTAAGTGTGTCAAGAAAAGTGCAAAGGTCAAAAATGACTTTCTGCTTTTCTGTTCAGCAAGTAAATTAAAAAGAACAAACCCTTTCTTACTGTATAGGCTGTATAGTCTACTTAAGCTTCTCTCTACTTTAGCAAGATCTACCAAAGAACTTCCGTCTCGTGTGGACAGCTTCCAATTCCTACCTTCTTTTCATCTCCCCTGGCTACTTGGGCCCAGTGCCAGGGAGACACTTGGTCCGTTGCATTCATCCTGGCTTTTCTGCACTGTTCCTTCCTGTTATGCAAGAGATTTAAAAAAATAAAAGTTGCTAAGATTCAATGTAAAATGCCAGTGTATAACACTGCCAGGCTCTTTCATGAGTGTAAAGTCTCCTTCCTGCTCACAGTAAGCATTTGGAAAGCAGATGTTAGTGAGTTTGCCTTCTGTGATCCTTTCAAAAACTTCATTTTCTCATACCAACCCATGGAGTGATCCTTGTCCAGAGGAATTGTTTGAGTTTCTTAATTCCATTTTGTGGGTAGCATGGAATAATGCTACATATGCTACATCCTGTGCTGACAAAACTATATGGGCTCCTGGCCTTGAAAAGTACAGTACAGGAAAGGAGAAATATCACAAATAGTTGACCTTGCTAATTGTGTTTCCATTCAGTTCTTCGTTTTAACACCTTCACCATTCAGTGCCTTAAACCTTTCAAAGTCACTGCAACTAACAAATTTAATTCAGTAGGTAGATCATGGATGCATACATGAAAGGATGCATAAAGAAAATTTCCTAACTATAAGTGTATGTATATAGTTTAAACATAGAATTAAATTCTACCGAATGCCAATATAATAAGACAGAAACATATTCCTTACTCACATGTGCTTGCAGGTGCACAGTACGTCCCCATCGTGAGCTGCAATGCTAACAGCTGGAGTAGTTCTCAAATACCAGAATATAAAAATAACTACTAATGAAGACTTAATATTATTCAGTGCGATCACCTGCAGATCTTAAGGGGTTTCCAAAGGAGGGAAGGCATCATTTTACAGACGGAAAGGCTGAGAAGACTGAGATGCAGAAAGAATAAGTTTCATAGCCAAGATTCACTGGCAGAATGAGGGAGAACAGCTGTTTTCTGAGTTTTGGTTAAGCCCCTAAATCTCAGGCATCTTCAAGTTAACGCTGTGCATCAGGACTCCTTGCTTGTCAGACAAGGGTTTGCGATTCAGGATGTTGTGTTCTCTGTATGAGAAACAAGACTCTGGTCTCCGAGGGCAGTACAGAGCCTGCAACTTCATTTCATGCAGACCAGCCGTGTAGGTTTGGGGGTTTTTTTTGCATATTGCTATACCACAACATTGTATAGTGTGTGCTACCGTTTTGGCCTGCCAGAAGCCTTGGAAAGATTTTGTTCTGCTGCCATCAAGGAAAAGGTTCCTCTCCCCTGCTGTATAGTCTATTACAACTGTTGCTACCTCCCCAGATCCATCGTCATGGATACCAAAAACCCTGGAATTTCGTATGGAGGCTTTTTCTAACATGCAGTGCCAGCCCTCTGCAAGGGAGCAGGAGATAGGCATTTCAAAGCACTGAAGGACTTGGCCTAGAAAGAAAAAAAAATAAACAGAGATATTCTGGGACCAATAATAAAATCATTCTTGCTTCAGCAGGGAGATGCAGTGACCTAGCCCTCTGCGCAGCCTGACCAAAGAGTGGGAAGAGGCTTGGGCACGAGGCTGCTGCTGCCTTTTGAGGGGCTGTGGTGAACTGTCCAGACCCCCTCCCACACTCTTCTGCCAGGCTGGTTCAGTTCTTATTGGGTTTTTTTTTAATTGCAATTTAGGAAGATTTTCAGCCTTTAATAAATAGGCTGTGTTCCATGCAAAACAGCCCTGTTTTGATAGAAAAGACAATATTGAAGTAGAAATTCTCACTGAGTAGCATATTTTCAATTGAATTGTCATAGACTAATTCATACTGCCATGATCATATATTACGTTTGAAAGATTTAATTTAGGCAGCAGGCACTGTTCTTGTGGAACCTTGTGTACAGAAGAAGTGAAAATAGAGAAACAAAGACTCCACTCTAAAATATTTCTTTAATGTTTAGCTTTCTGCTTCTATTAGGTAATGATTAATAAATGGAGAGGGAGAAAAATGAGCTTTTATTATTTTCATCTAAATGTTAAGAGGTGCTGCGTGAACCACCATAATTTCAGGGACTGCTTTGTCAGAAGAATTTCATGGATGGTGGTTTGTTAAGCTGATGAATTGCTTTAATTAGTCAGTAAAACACTATTTATGATGAAACATATGACAGTCACAAAAATTGATAATTCTTGGGCACAACAGTTTCTGACTAACCTCTCCTACCAGTAATTGGCTGATACATACTTGGAAATTATGCTTTACGAGGTTACCTTGAAAATTAATAGATAGGATATTAATTTTACAGGTGTAAAGAAAATCATTCAGTCAAGTCCATAATATTAAGCTATAGCAATAAATAATCATAAAGGAATAATAAATAAACTTATAGAGAGAGAGAACCTGGAGTCGCAGAGAACCTGGAGTCGGGTCCATGGAGAGCACCACGTTGCAGGGCTTTGTTCTGAGGATAATAGAGAAATTCTGGTTTGTATAAGTAGTAGAAGTATAAGCTTCATGAGTTCAATATTACCAGGGCCAGGACATTTCCTAACTGCCTGTATATTACTTTACCAAGCTGGTATTTAGCACTGTATTCCCTCTACAGTTCCTGACTGATACAGCCATTCATGTTCACCATCCTTAACAGCTTTCAGGTTTGTCTTTTAACAAAGGTGTTTCACTGGAAACATTCTGCTGAGAGATTTCTGCTGTGTACAGGGAGGCTTTCTCCTTCATGCCCACCTCTCCTGAATGTCTGTCTGTCTCCTTTAGTTGCCATCCCTTGTCTGGAGAATGTAGCTGCAAAGCTGGCTGGGCCGGCCTCTACTGCAACGAAACGTGTCCGCCTGGATCCTACGGCGAAGGCTGCCAGCTGAGCTGCCCATGCCACAACGGTGCCGACTGCGACAGCCTTACAGGGAAGTGTTCCTGCGCACCAGGCTACCTGGTAAGTGAGAGCGGGCAAGAATGGAGCACATCACACAGGGCCTGCAAAAAAATAAAGAGGATTTTAATCCCGTTTCAAGTAATATTTGTGTAAGCATAGCCCAATCGAGGTGTTTTTTCCCCTTGTGAGTCCACGTAATGCTTCTTTGAACGGTGTCAACTTATTGCTTTTGATTACTTGCTTAACATCGCTGTTGTAAGTTTATTGCTCTTGGAAGGATAAAGACATGGTTTCCCAGCTTATATTCTAAGTCAAGTCATAACAAAAGATGTCAGATTATTGTCTGCCTGGAAGAGCAGAAAAAGAAATCTCTTGGCCTTTCAGCATGTTCCTTGTCAGTCACAATGTGATTTTAATAGATGAAGATTTTTGAAAACGTTACAAATAATAGAGCAATTCATGCCTTTTCTCAGCATATATGGCAGGTGTCTTTCACCTGAAGATCAGAAAGAGCTTCAGAAAACCTGAGGTAAACAAGCATTGCATTTTATAGATGGGAAATAAAATGGCTGAAGAAATCAGCCCAAGTGAGACAACAGAAGACAGGGAGATGGGTGGACAAGGGTGGGTAGCTTTGGGATGGACCTCTTCTAAAAGGAGGTGTTAGGACATATCCAGTGCTGCTGCACCTGCATTTCATGGTCTCTGATGGCTACTGAGTTCCCTGGCTGTGGCAGGGACAGAATTTAGTCTGCAGATCCAAATATTAAGCGCCTCTTTCCCATTACTTTAGGGCATACTGTGGAATGCTTAGGATTTGATAGTTCCTAAGAAAACAAAGCATTTTCAGGAGAGAATTCCGCTTCATTGGTAGTTATCTTTCCATAATTCATGTCCTTAATCTCACATGATCTCTCCCCCAGGCCTGTCTACTTGTTTTCCATACTGATATAGAAATGATTTGTTATAATTATTACTAAACTTGCTGGAAACCGTGCTTCAGGTTCAAAGACATTTCTAACATTTTTAAAGCCTCCATTGACATTTAGCAGTTGACTCGGACATGCAGCCTCCTAGATAAGTTTTACTCTTGATTATTTTAAGTCCTAACTTCAAAGCAAGATGAATAAATATCTTTAAATACTAGGGAATTTGGGGCCTCTGACCATGTCATAGCTCCTTTGCTTTGCAGGGGCAGAATTTTGCAGTTATATGGGGTGAGTTAGGCAGGATGAGACTGCCCAACTGACAAGATCACATAGTGTGGGAGTCCCCGGTGGGATGAGAAGGACCTTACAGCCTTCTTAGCCTCCCTCCTGTTGAAATCCACACCTAAGTTGATGATTGCCAACATCACCCCAGAGCCATAAGGGGAGTTATGGTTTAAAGTCACCTCTGTTCTCTACTGCATGTCAACAGCTGAACCTGAAAACTGGAGCCTCCATCTAATTTCTAGACGTTCTCTCAATGATGACACATTTATTCAGGCACGAGTGGTAGGACTATCAAAAGCACCTGTGCAAAACAGTAGTAGTTCAAGATGAAAAAAAAAAAAAGAACTTTGAAGTCTGATCTCCCACTTACTTGTAGTAAGAGAAGACAAAAATTTATCTTTTTTCTACTGTGGTAATACACAAGTGTTAATATAAAGTAGAGGAAAGAAAGAAGTCAGGAGCATATTAGTAAAAAATACGAAATGAAAAGATTCCAAGATCCTCTTTCTTACCAGGAAAGCTGCTCAAGTTTGCAGCACAAAATATTTTGTAACCCTTTATGTATTAGAAGAAAAACATAGTTTACAGTTTATACCATATATTATTGCAGCCATGAAGTCTGGGAAGTTCCTATTGCATTGCTTCAAAATAATATTTAATCTCATAATAAAGAGCCATCTTGCATTGACATTTAAACAGCTTGGTTATTGAGGATAGCTCTATAATCACTGAAGCATATTTAGGCATTAGTATCATTGCACTCTCATAATATACTATAATCTCTGGCAATTAGTCCATGAGGGGAAGTAAAGCCTCGAAATTGCTAATTTATTGCCTCTGAAGTGTATTTGTGAGTCGCACGCATGCCAGATGAATTGGGTTGTGTTCTTCCCAACGCAAGGAGCCCGGCTGCAAAGGAAGCCTGGAGGGGCTGCGCCGTGGGGAAGCTGCCCGTGGGTCGTGCGAGAGGGGCCGGGATGGCTCCGAGTGCCTCGTCTCAATGACAAATTGAAGCCCAAGGTTTCCCCTTGCACGGGAGCTCTGCCCGAGGGCAGCATTTTGCCCTTGAATTGGGGCAGCCCAAGTGAGCAGCGTGACGCTCCCAAGCACAGGACGGCTCTGCTGGCAGCAGCGGCAATAGACGGATGCTAATACAGAGCTGGGCACAGCTAATTATTCCAAATCGGTGAAAATGAATCCCTTTGGCTTTTTCTAGCATGAAGCTTGGCTGAGGCAGCCCCGGGGTCAGCACTTCTCACTTACCGTTGCAAAGATGCAGAGCGGGATCAGCATCTTAGGTTTACTGAAGGGTTTGATCTGCACAGGAGCTGCCGTAGCAGAGCAGAGTGAAGGGTTTCTAAGTAGGGAGGGATGATGAATTGTAGAACGGAACTGCAGAATAGAGCTGCAAAGGCAACAGATTGGACCCACAGGACTTCTGGGTTACTGGGTGGCTAGAAAACACAGTGACCAAGAAATCACAGTGGCTTTTCCTGACAAAGCGCTCGAGCAGCCCCCTCTCCGGCACAGATGGCTTGTTTCTTCGCTCTGCCCTGCCTCGGCTATACCAGGGCAGCTGGGCTGGCTTTCAGAATGAATCATCCGCGATCGCAGCCAAAACAGGGACATTTTGTTGGGTTGCAGAACAAGCCATTAAAAACACAAAGCATCTGGTCACCTTTATTAAATGTATTTAAGTGGAAAGGCAGCCATCCCATAGGCTGACACGCACATGAATGGAGCACTTAATGTTTTGGAAGTTAAGCAGATTCAAGTTTTGAAATAAAAATGTACATTGTAGCTCAGAAAATAATACATTATTTATTAGCTGTGACATTTCCAGAAATTCAAATGCCAAAGCTAAATATTGGTGAGCTAGCAGTTTTGGATGTGATTTCAAAGCCTTTTATGTCTTCTTTTTCTTGATGAATATTTTGGGTCAGGCTCAACAACCCCATTTTCACATCTCTCCCTCTAAAAACATATCTAAATGTTGTAAAAGTGCTGTTGAGCACTAGTACAGGTTATCTTTATGAGGTCTCAGTATGACTGGCTCACACTAGGGAATTGCAGCATTTTAGCTGTGTAGGTATCTGAAGCAACAGAATTTGATGCAAACGCTGTGCGTAGAGTTGCCTGGAGAAATCTGAGCGATCCTCAGTCATTCTCAGAAGAGCCCCGTTCTTGGAGGCAACGTAAAAAGCAATAAAATGGGATAATAGCAGAGGGGACACAGAAAAATCTGCGTACAAAACCACAGAGCATCTCTAGAGATTCTTCTCCAATGCAGAGTCCAAATTACCAGCCTGTTGGAAGCCCTTACTGCATCTCACTTGTGAATGGAGGAAAAGAGCTTGTATCCATTTAATTATGATGATTGCAGGGAATCATCACAGCAAGAGCACCTATAGGCACTTCCCTGAAGTTTGAAGCTTTAACATGTTTGAGGATTGCCTCTCGGTCGCCGTGTGCTGCTGAATTGCCAGTGATGCTTTTCTGAAGAGCACATCTGAAAAGCTGTTCAGCTCCCATCGCCTTTGTGGCAAGGAGGAATCTGATAAACGCACACAGGGAGTACGCAAAGATTAGGCGTAAAAAACGTGTACAGGGAGATGCTTGACTGGTAGAAGCTGCATCATGACTCCCACGCATAAATAGCCACTCCTTGCCATAAATTGCTTGGATGTAATTATGGGGTTGCCTAGAGGGGTGGTTCTAACTTGTGTCATCTCCTCCTTCCCAGTTCTGCTTTGGGTTGCGTGTTCCAAGCCACCGAAGTCAGCTGCGGAGTAGGGATGTAAAAGAAATCAGGATTTGCCCAGTCCACTCTTCTTTTGTTTTTGGACCATTGAATTTTATTTCTGTAATTCAATAAATGTGGTAAAGAAGGCCAGAGGATATGAATTAAATATGACAGGGGACCGCAGGAATCCTGACCTTCCGTCTCACAAGGAAATCTTGAAACCAACCCCTTGCACATACCTATCAGCTTTCTAGCTGCTGAGATCATTATATATGCTATTGAAGTGCAGCTGGGTTCACCCTCTCCATTGCACAGCTAATTGCAACTTTCTTTAAAACAGCAACTGTCTGGAAATCACGTTCTCTGATAAACCTTTGTTTCTTTATATACGCTCTGTTTTCTTCCTTTGAAAAATATATTCAGTTTCAAATGCTTTCATTCTGTCCGGTGTGGCAAAGGAGATATGTAGTTAAAATATTTCTCAGTCCAAGATGCTATGGGAAAACTTTAACACTTATCTGTGGAATGTGCGGTCAGCTTTTACTTCGGCGGGCACTCAGGTCTATATTTCACATCTAGATGACAGAACTTATATTACTTTAAAGAGTTCATCTATTTATGCTGCAGTTTTCTGAAGACCTGTCTGCTTTTATTGAACCCTGCGTGCTGGCAAGTGGAGCTAGCAGTTCATCACCAGAATGAAAGAATTCGTTTGACATTTTCCTGTTCCTTGACTACAGTGGTAGGTCCCATGCAGGCCCATCCCTGCACTGTGCGCTCTGGGAAAGGATGGAGACTGTAAGAGTGATGGCCCCTTAACAGAAGTTTGTTAGCTTTTGGAATGCCACTTGGATTTCCTAAAACTTCCAAAGACACATGCCCCTACTGTGTGTCTAGAGATTTTTGCATCTTTTGTTGCCATTGCACCAAAACTGCATTTTAAAAATGTGATAAAATGATACCTCTCAAATACATCCTTCTGTAAGTCCTTATGTTTATATCTCCTGCTGAGCTCAGTATGAATCTGTGCACTTAAGGACTGAAATATCAGGCTTAAACTGGGTCTATAAATCCAGAATTTTGTGTAGTATGCCAAAGGACCT